TTTTATATATATCACTGAAATCTATTATTATAACAATTTGACTTATTACAGCAAAATAAAAAAGAAAATCTTGATAACTTTAAAATGTTAGTATTAATTTTAGGATGACAAATAACTACAAGATGAACTAATAATGTACAAATGCGCATTCTTTTTTTTTGTTCTAAATTGTAAACATTTTCTTTATTACTTTTATTTGAGTAATAAACTTCTCATTAATTTTTGCTAATTTATTTTTTGTGAATCCCAAACTTTTTAATCATTCCCTTTTCCTTTTTTTTTTTTACAAATCAATGTTGACCATTGCAAAAATATCAAATTTAATTTCTATCTATTATTAATCTATGGTAACATATATTATTAACTTATGATAATACATGCTTTATGATAACAGATAGCTAAGACAAATATTGCTTATATTGGCCCCTTAATGGATTTGTATACAAACAGATAGATTATTATACTTAATTACTACACCCTTAATGGATTTGTATACAAAATAGATAGATTGGGCAGATTAGTATCGACATAACAAAAGAGTAAAAAGTATTCTACAACTATTTCGAGAATCATGAACTTAAGAATGAACTGATTGATCATCTTTCACCCTAATCATCATTTTGCTTAACGATATTCAAGGATTATTATTAAATAATATACAAGTAATAGATTATGTTATCATTTCTTTTTTCTACACTAAAATTGATTGATTTAAATTAAAAAATAGAATTTAAAAAGCTAAGATTTGATTCAAAATTACTGATTTTGACAACTACTTACAGCTGCAAGAATTTCTAAACTAAGCACCCATTCAGTGATTCAAATTTAATTGTTTACCTAATTAATGATATAATATACATGAAACTATATGTGTCCAAATAATTACATTGAGCATCGAGAAATTTGCATCCCCACTATTGTTGGGTAATTCAAATCATTGTATTCAATTAACGGAAATTAAGGTTATCTTCAAACACCTATCAAGAACGTTTTAAATTTAGAAAAAGGAAAAAAAGAACCAAATATGCGAATAAATTTCCGAGAATTCGGATGAAAATGAATACAGTTTATTTGTTACTTTATTGTTCTGACTAAATATTTCCGGTCTTTCTGGATTTGTCCTGTAACTTCAATCTAAGATAGATAATAATTAATTTTACGTCCATAACAAATAACAATAACAAGAAAATTTCATTGAACAAATATGAAATGAAAATGATCAATAAAATCACGTAAAACGAAAGGATGAATGATAACCACTGATGAAATAGGTGAAAAATCAAAATTAAGCCAAAGATCCTAGCTTGATTCTATAGCATTTTTTAAGTTTAAAATTCACAAAAAAAAAAAAAGAAGAAGGATTTATTAAAAGGAAGATTACTTGAATTGTTAATACGACTTTTGATGCACACATTAATTGATTTATCACAAAAATTAGCCATTCCAGTGTAATCTAATCATAAGGACTGATATTAAATCCACTACATCATTCAAGTTCATGAAATGGAAATATCATACAATTACTCGAAGATAGACAGAAACTTGAAAGGCTTTAATAGTTGCGCAATGATCATAACCTATTTTAAATAATATAGATATAATTCCCATGCGTGAATATATCATTAATTTATTCCATTAATGATTTTTTGGCAAAAATGAAAAGTCTATTCAAGATTAAATCATTTACACGAATCACTATTTATGAAATATACTTCGGACCGATGTAGGCAACTTTTTTCTTCTTTACTAAAGCAATAAAATTCTATTTTCTTTAATCAGTACTTTTGCCAGATTTTGAAATATTAAAAATCAATAATTATATTCAAAAATTGGCAAGTAATGACTTCATAAGTTTTTTCATCAAACAAGCATAGAGAAATAAATTTCAAAAAAAAAGTCTTAAAGTTGCAATAAAATTGATAAATTGGGAAAAGATGAACATCTCAGCAATGAGATCAGTAGAAGAACCGCAAAAATACGACAGGCTATTTTCTTCTTCCCTCATTTATAAAGCTTTGAATCAGTAAGAGGTTTTAGCAACCATAACCATAATATAAAACCAAGAAGATAAGAAAACCACAGAAGAATACGCGTTGAACGTTTCGGATATGCTTCAATAAGTGGTAGAAGTGGTAAGCCCATATTGTTACAAACTGAATGACTTACGATCGGTGCCAATATATGACCTGAAATTGCTCCTTCTCAAGAGTACCAATAAAAAGAAAATCTAAGCATACCAAGCAGAGAAAGAAAAAAGGATAAACTCCTGGAACAATTTATCGAGATTCGAAATAAATAAAATAGTTAACAAAAAAAATCTCCATTTTCATTACAATTTTTCTCTAATACATTGTTTTTAAATTTAACTGAGTTCAAGATTGCAGAGAGTTTAGGTTCACGTATTCAGCTTGATATCAACATATTCGTCTATCTTATATAATCACAGTTAGGATTAAAATGTTCGCTTAAAATTTTTGAATATCAGAAATTTTGAGCGAACATTTTAATCCTAACTGAGATTATATAAGATTTTAGTTTTCATTGTAGTTTTCATTCAAAAAATGACGAAAAATACCTGTACGAACAAAAAGGAACGTTGCATATGCACCAAAAAAATATGAATAAGACGTTTGGAATGCTGAAAATAAAAATAAAATGGATGAGAGGAAAGGAGAAAAAGGAAATACAAGCAATTAAAAGGAATAATTAAACATGTCATGACAATAATATGTATCTCTAACAAATCAATAAAAGTTTAACTTTCGTGATAATATAATCAACAGTTACTTTCAACATCATACTTTTTCAAAGAAATAAATTTTTCCAATTGTTTAACAGATTTGTCATAGTTTGTAGGATGAAATTTTTATTTTTTGAGTAAAAAATGAAAATTTTCGAAATTCCCAAACTATCTGATCAATCTCCAGCAGAAATGTATCATCTAATGCTGGCGAAAAGGTTCTTTGACAGAGTTTTTACCAACTATCAAAATTAAAATATGTGATGCATATGATCGAAAGAAATTGTACATTTCCTTATCAAAGATCACTTTATTTCATTTCATTATAAAATTCAAGAAACCTCTTCGACTGATTGCCTCATATTTGGTATAACCTTTCTTCATATCGTCAAAAATATGATGAAGATGACTTAGAGCAAATGGTAATGGTGCAACAAATATTGTTACAGTTGATGATAAACACTGTAAAATTAAGGTTGATGCGCAAGCACGAAATGCTATCTCTTCTGTGACCGGTGCCTTAAAAAAGAAATATTTGAGTTATTTAATCGTTCAAAAGAAAGAAAAAAAAACTAAAAATAAATTATAGTAAAATAAGATGAATTGAATAACGATAATCCGTTCCAAATTTACCAATAAAACATCTCGAATCCATATGATATTCCCAGCATTTCGTTTCAGTTCATCCAAATCTGAAAGTATAAGAAAATAAAGGTATGCTCGATCGTTCTCTTTCTTTCTATTTATTGAGTAACAATCATAGATTAATTATTAAAATTTTAACTAAATGGAACAAATGTTCACTAAATTCAACGTATTATATCGCATGTATTCGAATCCAATAAAAAAAAAAAAAAACTAGAAGTAATTTAATTGCTAAAATCACTTATCGTTGAGAAATTTGACCGAATATTCTTGATAATTCGTATTGTTTTTGCCTCATTTTCTTTTTCGACTTTGATAAAAAATGATTTCAAAAATACGAAAAATCAAATTACTAACGAAAGAGAGACCAAAAGTTATTATCAATATACATCATAACCCAATTGCCCAAATAGCAAATACATGTTAATAACGTTGGTAATATGCATGCTGGGTAAATACCTCGGGCATGTATCCCCATCAATAATAGCGGTGAATCATGATGCTAAATGATAAAATAGATCTTTGATTCATCATGATAATTAACAACTGATTATGTTACAACGAGGGAAACAAACCATAAAAGCGTAAAAATAATATGCAAAGATTGGAAAAGCTATGTTAATTAAGTCAACCATCAATTATTGTGATCAGTTCTCTTATCGTCTTTTAGCCATCTTAATCCTCTTTCTTCCTCTCTTTTTTCTTCACCATACAAATTACTGGCAAAATTTTGAGGCATAAATACTTCTTGTCTCTATCCTTGTTCTCATAAATTATTGCATGGCTAATGATCCACCAATATAAAATCAAAGATCATTTTATTCATAAAGGTTTAGCGATAAATTAGTCACATTTTACTACTTTTTCGTTCATTTTCTATGTTTTTCTATATGTTTATTTGTAGCTTTTCATAATGGTTTAAGGTCAAACATCTTAATTGATTGATATTATTTCGAGTCAAATAGGACAAAACTTTAATGAATTATCAATGAATTATCAAAAATAATATATTCAAAAAATATCTAACTATAAAATAAACTAAACTATCACTTTAAGGTTACTTTAGGAAAAGGAAATTGCTTCTTTTCAACTTTTAATTAGCCAGTTTTATGGTAGAATTTAAGTAATATCATATGGTTAGATTTTTCATCCGTTATTACACCAAATAAAAACGCAAACTGAACGAACTGTCACATATCACAATGCTTTAATGCCTTTTTAATCAGAATGAATAGGTCAACTGATAAGTGATAAATGAAATAAACATAATTAACATTGTTTACCTTGTATAATACAGCATATGTGCATGCAATACTGATAATATTATTTACCGTAGCACCAAGCAAACGTCGTTTGATACTTTGTGGATCATCTCGATCAACACCATAGAAATCAAAAGCATACAAAAGTCCAACATAGGATGATGAGATCACTGTTGCCAGTGGTAAATACAACAAAATGCTCATCACTTCAGCATGATTCGTTTTTCTCGTAATTACATCCTAAAAATGATTGAACAAATTTCGGATATTTCTAATATTACGATTATTACGATTCATTCATATAAATCAAACCTGATACTAGTATTCGATAAGCAACAGTTGATAATTAAATAAACCAAAAGTTCAATTACTGGATGATAATGTTATTATGAAATCAATCTTAAAAAGCGCAATATACAGATAATATAGTGATACCAGGAGTAAGATATCACTAACACCGTATACCTATAAGTCTCGAAATTCATTATTTAACCACAACATTCATGCAGAGCATACAAAATTTCTTTTAAAGAAATTTCTAAAAAATTTTTTCTTGAAACTTTCATCAAAGTTAATGTAAAATAATTCTTACCAATCTTTTAAGCAATTTATGCAGTCAGTTTTTAAAAAAATTTCAGTTTTACAAACGAAAAATTGGAGAAAGGAAGAAAACTTATATAAAATGTCAGATTTCGAAAATAAAACGTAACTTGAAATTAATTATTCAATTATTGAATGTTCATTTAATTATATAATTGAAGTAATTTTTAATTGTTCTCATAGATCGATTTAAAAATTATTTCAATTATAACGAAAAATAACGAAAATTTTCTATTACAAGTGAATAAAATATAAGTAAGGATGAAAAAAAACGTATACGAAATGAAAAAAAGAAATGTTAAGTATCAAGAAACAAAACCCAACTTAAAATTCAAATTGATAATTGTAATATTTCGTCATAGTAACATTTAATAAATGACAGTTGTTCGCGTAAAATGTAATGTCTGCAACGGATATACATAACAATTGTTCACGTAAAACGTTCACATAAGACGTAATGTCTGCAACGGATATGTGTGACAGTTGCTCATCTAAACGCTTACGTGGAACGTAATGTTTGCAACGGATATACATGATAGTTGTTTACGTTCACGTAAAACGCAATGCCTGCAACGGATATACATGACAGTTGTTCACGTCCACGTAAAATGTAATGTTTGGAACGGATATACATGAGAGCTGTTCACGTTCACGTAAAACGTAATGTCTACAACGGATATTTTATTTTAGTTAAAAAATAAGTTTTTTTCGTCTAGAATAATTAATGTAACTATAAAATATAGCAAAGTTTTGTTTTGTAACTTTACGAACGAAGGAATACCCCAAATGTCCACGTAAACACAGATAAATAAATAAATATTCTATAAATTCAACATATTTCTGGAGATAATATCTTCCTGAGGCTATTTGTCATCAACATTTCACTATTTTCAAACAATACTAGCTTTGATAATCAAGAAAAAAAGTACTAAGTGCCTTCCGATTTCAAATTCGAAATTCTATTATAACTTTGAAGGATCTTATGGTAAGCAAAGTTTTATGAATAATAATTGTAGATGGAGGAAAAGAGTGTGAAATTTGAAAAATGTACAAAATAACTTTTTCCCAAATTTGCATATTTTAGGAAATGAAAGATTTTTGCAAGCGAAGAAATCAATTTGCTCAGTTTAAAGCCTTAATACCTCAGAATTTTGGTTGAATGACTTAAAAATGTTCTCTTTAGGAAAAAAAAAAATGAATTTTAGTTTTCTCTAAAATAGCTTCATGGAAGAAACTCTAGACGATCGATAAAAGATGAGAGAAAATTATGGACTAAAGAAGTCAATGAATTCAATATAAAAAATAATTTCCCTTAGCTTTCAAAATGATGATATTAACAGAAAGCAGTAGTGCAGTTTGATTGATAGCTTTATAATCCAATAAATTATGGAAAAGCGAACACAACAGCTAAATGAAGAAAATTTCCCGTATATTTTAATTAAATTTTAAATTTTAAACACAATTATTCGAAAAGTATGAAACAATTGGATGGTAAATTTCATTCTGCTAATTCTCTAAACAGAATCAATCTGATGATCTATCAAGAAAGAATTTAAGGAACATGAAAATCAAATAATCATATTTTCAACAATCTTGATCAATCTTGACATTTTATGATAAGATTTATGATAAATTGAAAAATAACCACAATAATCTTCTTCTTTCATTAAATAATTTGAGATGAATTCAGTAAAGCAAAATTATATTTGATGAATAAAATAGATTGATTATTAGTAATTAATAAATAAACTGTGGAGATTTAACTAATTAGACTTTAGGAAATTTTTACTTTAGTAAATTTTATAATTACGTTATTGAATGCAGTAAATAAAATGATCGAACAAAAATTAATAATTCGATCAAATGATTAATTAAAACTTTGCATAACAGATAACATGACAAGTACAAAGTAAATTGTGTAAAATATATAAAACATACCAATTATGAAGAAGTAGCAAAGATTTCAGTAATGATATCAATTATCGAGAATTCTCGAGGAATTATTCTAATTATTCTTTAAACTTCAAAAAAAAGAAAACTTCGGAAACATTACTAAATATTTTCTGCCTTAAATATATTAGTAATAATTTTAAAAAAAAAGAAAAGGCTATAATACTGCTAATCAAATCTTTTAAAAATTTATTTGAGAAAAAGAAAATAAAGTTTAATTTTAAAATAAAAATAAAAAAATTATAAAGAAATGAATAGATTATAAGATATTCGTGACTTTCGATAATACAATTATTTATTGAATTAACAACTTCATTATGATTTACAAAAAAAAAAAAAAAGGCAAAATATGAAAATTAAAACAGTTTGTTGAAATATGGAATTATATTCTTAACCATTTCTCATATATCTCGCCATTACTACATCTTCTACTTTTATTTTCACCATAAAAAAAAAATACTCTAAAACTATGAAAAGCTAACCGTATTGCTTAAGATTAGCTAATATGATACATAAAATGGAAGAAACAAAACTTCAATTTTAAACCTTTTTGTTTCCTTTTCGCCTTTTAATGATATTTATAGTTTGAAAGTTATGATAACTTTCAAACTATAATATTGGAAGAGTGATAGGAAAAAGGTTGAAGGTTAAATATTAGCGTTAAATATATTATTATCACTCTGCAGAATTACATTTAACTTTTTTTTTTGAATTGATATGAAGCAATGAAATAATCAAATACACAACGATTTTTCTTTGTTATGAATACAATAAGGAAAAGAAATTACGGATTAAAGTATAGTTATTTATGTCAGATTACCAAAATTAATGCTGCTATGTTTAAATAAAACTGCCACAATATCCAACAGATAGGATGGAAAAATCTTGGAAGTAAAATTAAAGCAATGAAGAGGATATAAGTTAACACAAAGATATCATTGTATCTATACAATGAGGTTAGCCATCCCTCCATGATAATCATGATGGAGCTTACAAAACTCCCTAATCCTTATATATATATATATATGTATATACATATGAAAAAATCAAAAGTTCATTTTTTACAATCGAGCAGACAATACATCTTCTTCGCTAATTCTCCACCACTGAACCACAAACAACATCTTCGTATATCCGCCACCATTGAACAACAAACTATGATATTCTTTCTATTTGCTAAATATATTTCCCGTAACATATCCCCAACTCAACGATCTATCAACTAACGGACAATCAAATTATTATCGATAGCAATGATAAGGAATTTGTTAGTTAATCATATTGCTTGCTTATTGATAACTCATTTATCACTGTTTACCAAATTCATCGTGTAATATATACATATATATTTTACACCTTCTTTGTTATGAACTAATAATATTGTGTAAGAATATTACCTCCCGAATAAATCTATATCGCTAAGAAATGAGTTCAACAGATTGGTCGTCCCGACAATATATGTCATTATCAACGCATCACATAAAACATCAACGTGCAATGTAAACAGGATAAGTCTACACTTATCCAACGAACAAATAAATCTTCCATTCACGTAACACGTAAGAAATCATTATCATAAATGACCCTTTTCTTTTGAAGTCCACTATTCCTAATGCTTTTACTGCTATACTGTTACTATCATAATTACTTGGATATTTCTACTAAGTTGACGGAATAATTAATCCTTAAAAACTAACCGTACTGTCATTACAGCATCATCGACTAAATCAGGTTTAAACGTTACACATTATAAAGAAATTCATTAATAATTCAACTTTACTTTTCGAAAAAAACGATTTTCAAAAGCAAACGATTATGACTTAAGTACAAATCATATTACATACTATTGAAGTGTAGGATAAAACTTTTGAGATGAAAAAAGTTAATTTACCCTTACGTATGTAAAAAACAATTAAAAAAGTAGTCTATAATGCAATAAAATCACGTATATTATTTGTTACATGTACATAACTTTTCTAATATTTCACAATAATAGTAAATTCATGAAGTGGCAGCAGGAAGTAAGTCTAAACAAGATGGATAAGGCAGGAATAAGAATCCGGAAAACAGCTGTCCTTATTAGTTCAGAGAAAGATAGGAAGTTTTTGAAAAGAGACTATCTTAACCGAATATGCAAAATAGCTGTCAATTTACAGGGGCATTCATATCACTATCATTAATTAAAACTACACTGAGGAATTCAAATAATTTCTTCAAAGAAACGAAAAAAATGTCATCAGAATTACCAACACTAACTTAAGCAATTCAATTTTAGCAAAGGTAACATAATTCAACGGGTATAGAATTTTGATTCCAACAAATCTTTCACATGAATGAATGCTTTACCCATTTGTTATTGTAAAAGAAAAAGGAGCAAATTACAAAACTTTCGAAAAATATGATATTCAACGAGGAAAAAATAGAAGAATGATCAATGAAATTTCGACAAAATTTACCGGAAGGCACTCCATAAACATTCTAAGACAAGAAGAAACGGTAGAAATAAAACGGTTCAGTACTATTGATATTGAAGACCACTTTTAGGGGAACACTAATGTTTGGCGCATTCAATACGCAACTGTATCACCAACAGGAGAAACGCTGTACTGCATATTTCGACGGGTTTGATTTCTCGCAGCTACTCCAAAGATAACGGATATTCGTTTTATTGCATTAATTGTCCAAGTTATAATGATCCAGAAGGCATGCAGAACAATCCAGGTGATTTCCACAGAGTAACAGTACAAAAAAGCAATCAAGAAATTGAAGAGAATTTTCCTGAACTGATAGAATTTGGAAGACAAAGCTTCTAAAATTCCGGTTCTTCTACATGGCCTCTTTAAGATGGAAAAAAAAAGAAAAAAAAAACAAAATACAATGATTAAATACAAGTACAGACAATATTATCAACAGTTAAAAGAAAAGGCATTAACAATTTCCATAATTATATACAAAGGATTATAAACGGAAAAGGAAAAACGATAAAAAATCATGGACAGCCGT